CAGCGAGACAAAAAAACAGGACGGGTGAGAGGGGAGTGTGTCCGTGAGATAAACAAACTCGCCGCTCGAGCTCCGTGTTCGTAAGCTGATGGTGAGACACGGACGACCGAGCTTGATGTCCGTTCTTCCTTCCTTCCTTCCTTGTGCCTTCGGATTTCCGGTTTATAAAACCATAGTACCACACGTATAGTTTATTCCTTGAGTAAGGCAGTAATCCAGGTACAGGAGCATCCTCAAACTTGACAGATCGTTAGATTTCTCCTCTTGGGGAGATCTGAGGTTGGGAGGTTTCCTGTTCCATGGCTCAGATTATATAAGGAAAGTATCTCCACACATATTACCGTTAAATATTTATAGTTTAATCTCTAGTTCATTTTGAGCAATTTTTAGAAACTTTAAAATAGCATAAATAATTGGCAAATTAAGGTTTCCCATAAGATAGCCCCAAGAAAAGGGGTTCTGTAATTTTTCCTTATTGAGAGTTTTAACCATGTTTTCTCTGGAATTGCTCAATAAGGGGCAGTTCCAGAGAATATGTTCTAAATCCTGATAGGCGTTACCGCACTTGCATTCCGGGGAGTTAATCATCTTGCACTTATGTCTCCTAGCGCTGGACCATTCCAATCCCGTTATCAATCTTACAATAAGTCTCGAATTCGGTCTTTCAAGCACGAATTTGCTTATATAACCAACATTGATGTGAGAAAAATAAGTAATGTATTTGTTGTTGTAACTAACTTTTAATGAATCTAAGAATTGGGAGTCAATTGATTCGTATTCTCGGATATTATTGAGCAAAACTTCTGCAAAAGAGATTTTATTGTTTACCCGTTGGCCCGACTGAGATGCTTGTTTGGCCGTTGAGTCGGCAATCTCGTTCCCTCTAATTCCTACATGGGCAGGACACCAGGTAAGTTTGATGTCTCTGTTATGAGACAGACAATAACATAATTTGTTATATAAATTTCTAATAGTTGGATTCAAACTGTTAAAAAAGGAGATGTTAGCCCGAGAAGGCTCCATGCATGAGTTTAAAGCGATCAACGTGCTAAGCGAGTCAGTACAGATATTAGTTCTTATCCATGGGTTGTCCAAAATCGCGTCCAGGGTTTTGCTAATTGCTAATGCTTCAGCTGAGAAAGAGCTAGAAAAATTGTTGAGTCTAAACCTTTCAGATGAATTAGTTGGAACAATGTGAAAGGAGGCTCCCACATTCCAGGAGTCAGCCTCCCCAATGTCCGTTCTTGTCTAACTAACCTACTCGCTTCCTGCACATAGCACGGAACACAACCGCTAAATCGTGGACATAGCACGGATCGTCATCAAAAATTCGTGGACATTGGCTATGTAGTTCAATGTCCACGTTTTGTGGACATAGAGGCGCTGAAACCGCCCGTTTCAATCGCCCGTTCCAGCTAGAGTCCTAGATTATCAGAGAAGCGCGACCGGTGTTACGAGTCCTGATTGGACTCGCAAATGACCAATCATAAGATTGATTTATCGCTATTATAAATGGCTGCCGAATAAATCAATCTTATGATTGGCCATTCGACGCCATTTTTAATATTTTCTAGTACTTTTGCGATACTGCCATAAGCCGGTCGCGCTTCTCTGATAATCTAGGACTCTAGTTCCAGCTAAATCGCAGGCATGGCCGCTCTCAGGCTAATGTATCGCTTAGTGTCGGTCCACAATAAGGATTTTAAGCCTTAAGCCGTAAGAAATAAACCAATCGTAGTCGAATATGAGAAGAATAATTGATTGTAATTGGTCAATATCTTACGACATAAGGCTTTAAGTCCTTATTGTGGACCGACACTTATATGTCGGTAAAGTCAACTTCCTACCTACTTTGTGTGTAATTAAAATTTAATTTTAATGTGATCTATGAATATCACATGAATTCATAATATCTATCCAAACTGATATAATTATATACAACTTATAAATAATAAAATAAATTAATAATTATGTTCCGTGCAGAACGTACGCGTACGCAGACAAAAGCATCGTTTTTTTTTAATTTTCCGTTTTAACAAATATACAAATACACGATTATTATTGGATACATTTCATAGTCATCTTCTGCAATTAGTCTAAAAATGTAAGGTAAAATAAAGAATGTTACTATTAAAAGAAGATATGTGCTAATGAAAGTCGATCGTCATGACATATAGTCGACTAATTTTTTCAAATTTACAAATATATAAATTTTTATTTCGTGTCAGTAATTATTAAATTATGAAAATTTTTATATTTTTAATCAATTTACAGAGCTATGAATTAAAGACTGTTCCAAAATTTATTGCCATCACTGAAAATCTATACTTTACGTTACATGTGCACTATAGATTTTTAGCACTGGCAGTGAATTTTGGAACACTATCAAAATTACACTGAATTGATCTTTTATCCTTTACATGTTTTCATTAAATGTAACTTTAAAAAGTGTAATAAATGTAAATTTAAAAAGTGTCATGAGATATAATAATAGATATTTTCGTGGTGTACATACAGACATCTATCATAGCTCTATATTTAAACTTTAAAAAATGCATCCCCATATGTTCACTGTTTGTTTCATAACTTTTATAGTCCAGAACAAATTAAATTTTTTTACGTCTTATAACTTATACTAAGCCATTTGAAAT